AAAGCAACATGTAAGCTACACTGTAATAATTCTGTGACTGAATTCCTGTCTGCATAAATAACTCGTTACAATTGTCACCAGATATCAGCATGTACAGGCGGGCACTGCTGATACAGCAGGTTAGGTTCTGGCCTACTGTAGGGCCCCACTTATACAGCAGGTTAGGTTCTGGCCTACTGTAGGGCCCCACTTATACAGCAGGTTAGGTTCTGGCCTACTGTAGGACCTCACTTATACAGCAGGTTAGGTTCCAGGCTACTGTAGGGCCCCACTTATACAGCAGGTTAGGTTCCAGGCTACTGTAGGGCCCCACTTATACAGCAGGTTAGGTTCTGGCCTACTGTAGGGCCCCACTTATACAGCAGGTTAGGTTCCAGGCTACTGTAGGGCCCCACTTATACAGCAGGTTAGGTCCAGGTTTACTGTAGGGCCCTGCTTATACAGCAGGTTAGGTTCCAGGCTACTGTAGGGCCCTGCTTATACAGCAGGTTAGGTTCCAGGCTACTGTAGGGCCCTGCTTATACAGCAGGTTAGGTTCCAGGCTACGGTAGGGCCCTGCTTATACAGCAGGTTAAGTTCCAGGTTACTGTAGGGCCCCACTTATACAGCAGGTTAGGTTCCAGGCTACTGTAGGGCCCCACTTATACAGCAGGTTAGGTTCCAGGCTACTGTAGGGCCCCACTTATACAGCAGGTTAGGTTCCAGGCTACTGTAGGGCCCCACTTATACAGCAGGTTAGGTTCCAGGCTACTGTGGGCCCCACTTATACAGAGGTTAGGTTCCGGGTTTTATTTGTAGGGCCCCACTTATACAGCAGGTTAGGTTTCAGGCTACTGTAGGGCCCTGCTTATACAGCAGGCTAGGTTCCAGGCTACTGTAGGGCCCCACTTATACAGCAGGTTAGGTTCCAGGCTACTGTAGGGCCCCACTTATACAGCAGGTTAGGTTCCAGGCTACTGTAGGGCCCCACTTATACAGCAGGTTAGGTTCCAGGCTACTGGTAGGGCCCATTTATACAGCAGGTTAGGTTCCAGGCTACTGTAGGGCCCCACTCATACAGCAGGTTAGGTTCCAGGCTACTGTAGGGCCCCACTTATACAGAAGGTTAGGTTCCAGGCTACTGTAGGGCCCCACTCATACAGCAGGTTAGGTTCCAGGCTACTGTAGAGCCACGCTTATACAGCGGGTTTTAGGTTCCAGGCTACTGTAGGGCCCTGCTTATACAGCAGGTTAGGTTCCAGGCTACTGTAGGGCCCTGCTTATACAGCAGGTTAGGTTCCAGGCTATGTAGGGCCCACTTATACAGCAGGTTAGGTTCCAGGCTACTGTAGGGCCCTGCTTATACAGCAGGTTAGGTTCCAGGCTACTGTAGGGCCCCACTTATACAGCAGGTTAGGTTTTCCAGGCTACTGTAGGGCCCCACTCATACAGCAGGTTAGGTTCCAGGCTACTGTAGGGCCCCACTCATACAGCAGGTTAGGTTCCAGGCTACTGTAGGGCCCCACTTATACAGCAGGTTAGGTTCCAGGCTACTGTAGGGCCCCACTCATACAGCAGGTTAGGTTCCAGGCTATTTGTAGGGCCCCACTTATACAGCAGGTTAAAGGTTTCCGGCTACTGTAGGGCCCCCCACTTATAAAACAGGTTGGGTTTTCCAGGCTACTGAAAGGGCCCCACTTATACAGCAGGTTAGGTTCCAGGCTACTGTAGGGCCCCACTTATACAGCGGTTGGGGTTCCAGGCTACTGTAGGGCCCCACTTATACAGCAGGTTAGGTTCCAGGCTACTGTAGGGCCCCACTTATACAGCAGGTTAGGTTCCAGGCTACTTTTAGGGCCCACTTATACAGCAGGTTAGGTTCCAGGCTACTGTGGGCCCACTTATACAGCAGGTTAGGTTCTAGGCTACTGTAGGGCCCCACTATACAGCAGGTTAGGTTCTAGGCTACTGTAGGGCCCCACTATACAGCAGGTTAGGTTCTAGGCTACTGTAGGGCCCCACTATACAGCAGGTTAGGTTCCAGGCTACTGTAGGGCCCAACTTATACAGCAGGTTAGGTTCCAGGCTACTGTAGGGCCCCACTTATACAGCAGGTTAGGTTCCAGGCTACTGTGGGGCCCCCACTTATACAGCAGGTTAGGTTCCAGGCTACTGTAGGGCCCCACTTATACAGCAGGTTAGGTTCCAGGCTACTGTAGGGCCCTGCTTATACAGCAGGTTAGGTTCCAGGCTACTGTAGGGCCCCACTTATACAGCAGGTTAGGTTCCAGGCTACTGTAGGGCCCCACTTATACAGCAGGTTAGGTTCCAGGCTACTGTAGGGCCCCACTCATACAGCGGGTTAGGTTCCAGGCTACTGTAGGGCCCCACTTATACAGCAGGTTAGGTTCCAGGCTACTGTAGGGCCCCACTTATACAGCAGGTTAGGTTCCAGGCTACTGTGGGGGACCCCACTTATACAACAGGTTAGGTTCCAGGCTACTGTAGGGCCCCACTTATACAACAGGTTAGGTTCCAGGCTACTGTGGGGCCCCCCACTTATACAGCAGGTTAGGTTCCAGGCTACTGTAGGGCCCCACTTATACAGCAGGTTAGGTTCCAGGCTACTGTAGGGCCCCACTTATACAACAGGTTAGGTTCCAGGCTACTGTAGGGCCCCATTTATACAACAGGTTAGGTTCCAGGCTACTGTAGGGCCCCACTTATACAGCAGGTTAGGTTCCAGGCTACTGTAGGGCCCCACTTATAAAAACAGGTTAGGTTCCAGGCTACTGTGGGGCCCCCACTTATACAGCAGGTAGGTTCCAGGCTACTGTAGGCCCCACTTATACAGCAGGTTAGGTTCCAGGCTACTGTAGGGCCCCACTTAAAAGCAGGTTTAGGTTCCAGGCTACTGTAGGGCCCCACTTATACAGCAGGTTAGGTTCCGGGCTACTGTAGGGCCCCTTTACAGCAGGTTAGGTTCCAGGCTACTGTAGGGCCCACTTATACAGAGGTTAGGTTCCAGGCTACTGTAGGGCCCCACTTATACAGCAGGTTAGGTTCCAGGCTACTGTAGGGCCCACTTATACAGCAGGTTAGGTTCCAGGCTACTGTGGGGCCCCCAACTTATACAGCAGGTTAGGTTCCAGGCTACTGTAGAGCCACACTCATACAGCAGGTTAGGTCCCAGGCTACTGTAGGGCCCCACTCATACAGCAGGTTAGGTTCCAGGCTACTGTAGGGCCCCACTCATACAGCAGGTTAGGTTCCAGGTACTGTAGGGCCCCATTATACAGCAGGTTAGGTTCCAGGCTACTGTGGGGCCCACTTATACAGCAGGTTAGGTTCCAGGTACTGTAGGGCCCCACTTATACAACAGGTTAGGTTCCAGGTACTGTAGGGCCCCACTTATACAACAGGTTTAGGTTCCAGGCAAAGTAGGGCCCACTTATACAGAGGTTAGGTTCCAGGCTACTGTAGGGCCCCACTTATACAACAGGTTAGGTTCCAGGCTACTGTAGGGCCCCACTTATACAGCAGGTTAGGTTCCAGGCTACTGTAGGGCCCCACTTATACAGCAGGTTAGGTTCCAGGCTACTGTAGGGCCCCACTTATACAGCAGGTTAGGTTCCAGGCTACTGTAGGGCCCCACTTATACAGCAGGTTAGGTTCCAGGCTACTGTAGGGCCCCACTTATACAGCAGGTTAGGTTCCAGGCTACTGTAGGGCCCCACTTATACAGCAGGTTAGGTTCCAGGCTACTGTAGGGCCCCACTTTTACAGCAGGTTAGGTTCCAGGCTACTGTAGGGCCCCACTTATACAGCAGGTTAGGTTCCAGGCTACTGTAGGGCCCCACTTATACAGCAGGTTAGGTTCCAGGCTACTGTAGGGCCCCACTTATACAGCAGGTTAGGTTCCAGGCTACTGCTGTAAAGCAATAATCACTGTAAAGTGAAACATAGCCTTTTTTCACTTTTTAAATGCATAAATAAGCCTGATAACATATTTATACTATCATATATTAAGTGAGCAATAAAACTAGGCCTAAAAAAATGCATATACAGTACATACATTACTTACTTTAAAATGTTTTTGTCCTTAGCTTATAGAGAGTGGTGAGTATATTTATTGTAGCAAGTCTGAATAAATCAAGACCGGTGGCCCGGTGGCCCGGTGGCTAAAGCTCCCGCTTCACACACGGAGGGCCCGGGTTCGATTCCCGGCGGGTGGAAACATTTCAACACGTTTCCTTACACCTGTTATCCTGTTCACCTAGCAGCAAATAGGTACCTGGGTGTTAGTCGACTGGTGTGGGTCGCATCCTGGGGGACAAGATTAAGGACCCCAATGGAAATAAGTTAGACAGTCCTCGATGACGCACTGACTTTCTTGGGTTATCCTGGGTGGCTAACCCTACGGGGGTTAAAAATCCGAACGAAATCTTATCTTATCTTATCTATAATTGAAAACCGCTGCATTAGGGAAGATCTGTAAAGCAGGGCCTGCCTGTCAATAGTTCATTACCACTGTAACCTGCTTAGCTATTAAAACTTTGGGCACAGGCCCTGCACATTGTGTGCCTGTGTAATCTTTTGACTACCACCCAAACCATGGGTGTGGCTTACTGCTGACTATGAGGCACCCCAATGGAAATAAGTTGGTCTTAAGTTTGCCTGAAATGCTCTGCATATAAAGAGGCTTTTGGCATGTTCACCAAATTGTTACACTCCTTTGTACAACATGTATCATGCTAAAATAAACTTGTCATTGTCATTAGACAGACAGTGTTTGTTGATGTACTGATTTTATTGGGTTACCCAGAGTGACTAACCTTCTGGGTTAAAAATCCCAACAAATCCTACCTCAAATTTTCACCCACAGCTTCATCCATTTTGCATAAGTCATCACTGTATAAATACCAGGGGGCCTATAATTAATATTCCTATTTGTTAATATTGTTTTTAAATATTTTGTGTTGCTAGCATACCTTAACTAATGCTAACAATTGTATTACCAGCAATACCAGGCACTGGAAGAGGAGAAACTCAAGCTGGACACCTTTGTAGAGAGCAGCCTGCAGAATGTGAGTACTATGTTGGTTGGTTGTACATGGTATTGTTAGGGTATTGTACAGAACTACAGTATCAAGGGCCCTAGACTGTTATATTGCCTCCCAGTATACACAAGGGGGATTACTAACAGACCCCTGGCTGTCTTTGAGAGGAAGCTGGACAGGCACCTAAAGTCAACTCTTGACCAGCTGGACTGTGGTTCATACATTGGTATGCATGTGGCTAGCATTAACAGCCTGGTTGATCAGGTCCTGATCCACAAGGCCTGGTCATGGACCAGGCCTTGTGGGTCTTGACCCCCGGAGCACCCTCCAGGTATACTCCAGTGCTGCCTGCCTCTTAAAGAGCCCTCTTTAGGGTTAATTAGTGCCAACCCTACAGTCTTTTTCAAACCACTGACCATGGAGTTGACAGCCATGTCGACATTAATAATTATGTCTAAAATTAGTCTGCCCAAAAACACTTGAATAACAATGGGCTTTCCTTAGAATATGCAATACAGTTTTCATGAAATTGTAACTAACCTGCAACCAAAAAGATTATAAAATCACAATTGTAACCTCATTGTATTCTAATGAAATAAAAGCCTTTATAACAAAAATTTCACACTCACTTTTTACTCTGACAGTAATGAGTACATAGCCATGGCCTTGGAACAGACATGAAAATATGGGTGGGACAGAAGGAATATACGGTGGAAAAACAATTACAGGTATCACTCAGCCTGAATGAAATAAAAGTACAGTGGACCCCCGTTAACGAACTTTTTTCATTCCAGTAGTATGTTCAGGTGCCAGTACTGACCGAATTTTTCCCATACGAATATTGGAAAGTAGATATCCAAGTTTCGATCCCAAAACATACACGTACAAACGCCACTTACATAAATACACTTACATAATTGGTCGCATTTGGAGGTGATCGTTAAGTGGGGGTCCACTGTATTTATACCAGCTAGCATATAACAAAATGGAAAAGTAGTGAACTAAGAGTCCATACACCATAATGAGTGGGAGCTAAAGTGGTCTCACCACCAGTACTAAATCAGCCAATACAAATAATTGGAAGAAACCCAGGTATATTCCTGACCCAGGTTTGATTCCTGGAAAAGTGAAAATGTTGGGTATGTCTGAAATGCCTTGCATAACAAAGGGCTTTCTATAAAGTAGTTTATACATGTCAGTGACCTAATTGTAACGTAAGTACTTAACTACCAAAAGCTTTTAATATAAATTATGAATCGATGTACATAACAGTGGACCGGTTGGTATTATCCGTTGGAGTTTGGCTCCTGGTAAGGAAGATTAACGTAACACGGGGATCGTCCCACATTACTAAAAAGAACAAGATACCCCCTCAACGCGGGGGCAATAAAGCAACAGCAAAGAACTACAGACCGATAGCACTAACATCCATATCATAAAAATCTTTGAAAGGTCCTAAGAAGCAAGAATCACCACCCATCTAGAAACCCATCAGTTACACAACCCAGGGCAACATGGGTTTAGAACAGGTCGCTCCTGTCTGTCTCAACTATTGGATCACTACAACAAGGTCCTAAATGCACTAGAAGACAAAAAGAATGCAGATGTAATATATACAGGACCTGGTAAACGATTATCCGATGCAAGGGCTCATCGTTATGCGAAATAATCGTTATGCGAATGAATTTCCATAAGAAATAATGAGGATAAAATTAATCCGTGCAGAACGCCCAAAATATGAAAAAATTTTTTTTCCACATGAAATGTAAATCTAACACACAATGAAAAAGGCATGCACAATTACAGACACTTACTTTTATTGCCGATCTGGTGATCGACTGACAAGGATGGGAGGAGGGAGACGCATTATCTTCTTACTGTTTGAAGGGGAATCCCCTTCTAGACTTGAGTAGCAAGTCCTTTTCGGTTACTTCCTTTGCTTAATGCCATAGGACCAGCTGAGAGTCACCAAGACCTCGTGGCCAACAAATCTGTCCATAAGTGTACTCCCGTTCTATACGATTTGTTAAAATGGGCCAACTGTCATTGAAATGTCACCACACGGCTTGCAAAGCTGTTCAGGGTGATTTTCATCTATAAGGTTTGGCAGTCAAACCCACTGTGCACACATTTCCTTAACTTGAAGAGCACAATGGATCCAAACTGCATAGGTTCAGGGTTAGCACCCAAACCTTCAAAATCTTTCTAATTTCCATACTAATTCTCACCCTTTTATACCACAGGTTGGCACTAAGAACTTTCTTGGGGCCCATGGTCACTTATTTTCCAGAAACAGCACCGAAAACACTGTAATAATACGAAATTTCCGAGTATGCTTGGATGTTACCGCGAGGGCTGGCTGGTAAAACAATAGGACGGCCGCACTGAGCAGGTGAGACATGGACGTTCGACGAAAACCGGTAACTGGGTTTTAAATCGGTATGCGCGCAAAATATTGCGATAAAGTAAGTCGGTAATGCAGAGAAAAATCGCTATGTATGCATCGTTATGCGGTACACTGTATACAGACTTTGCAAAAGCCTTCGACAAGTGTGACCATGGCGTAATAGCGCACAAAATGCGTGCTAAAGGAATAACAGGAAAAGTCGGTCAATGGATCTATAATTTCCTCACTAACAGAACACAGAGAGTAGTCGTCAACAGAGTAAAGTCCGAGGCAGCTACGGTGAAAAGCTCGTTCCACAAGGCACAGTACTCGCTCCCATCTTGTTCCTCATCCTCATATCCGACATAGACAAGGATGTCAGCCACAGCACCGTGTCTTCCTTTGCAGATGACACCCGAATCTGCATGACAGTGTCTTCCATTGCAGACACTGCAAGGCTCCAGGCGGACATCAACCAAATCTTTCAGTGGGCTGCAGAAAACAATATGAAGTTCAACGTGAGAAATTTCAATTACTCAGATATGGTAAACACAGGAAATTAAATCTTCATCAGAGTACAAAACAAATTCTGGCCACAAAATAGAGCGAAACATCAACGTCAAAGACCTGGGAGTGATCATGTCGGAGGATCTCACCTTCAAGGACCATAACATTGTATCAATCGCATCTGCTAGAAAAATGACAGGATGGATAATGAGAACCTTCAAAACTAGGGAGGCCAAGCCCATGATGACACTCTTCAGGTCACTTGTTCTATCTAGGCTGGAATATTGCTGCACACTAACAGCACCTTTCAAGGCAGGTGAAATTCTGACCTAGAAAATGTACAGAGAACCTTCACGGCGCATAATGGAGATAAAACACCTCAATTACTGGGAGGCTTGAGGTTCCTAAAACTGTATTCCCTGGAACGCAGGCGGGAGAGATACATGATTATATACACCTGGAAAATCCTAGAGGGACTAGTACCGAACTTGCACACGAAAATCACTCACTACGAAAGCAAAAGACTTGGCAGACGATGCAACATCCCCCCAATGAAAAGCAGGGGTGTCACTAGCACGTTAAGAGACCATACAATAAGTGTCAGGGGCCCGAGACTGTTCAACTGCCTCCCAGCATACAAAAGGGGGATTACCAACAGACCCCTGGCAGACTTCAAGCTGGCACTGGACAAGCACCTAAAGTCGGTTCCTGACCAACCGGGCTGTGGCTCGTACGTTGGTTTGCGTGCAGCCAGCAGCAACAGCCTGGTTGATCAGGCTCTGATCCACCAGGAGGCCTGGTCACAGACCGGGCCGCGGGGGCGTTGACCCCCGGAACTCTCTCCAGGTAAACTCCAGGTAAACACCAATGAATTATATGCCAGACAGTCTGATGACTTGACTTTTTTGGGTTATCCTGGTTTACTAACACACTGGTTTAATAATCCAAACAAAATCCTCATAGGATAAGATTTTGTCTGGATTTTTAAGCCAGAGAGTTAGTCACCCAGGATAACCCAGTAAAGTCAGTGTGTTGTCATTGTTTTCTTCTTACTTCTTCTTCTCTTCTTCTTCTTACTTCGTCTTCTTCATCGTCTTTTCTTATTATTATCATTAGCATGATAGGAATGATATCACCTACATATTCCCACAGGCTGTGACCCAGGAGAGGCGCAGGTATGGGTTCATCCTCGAGCGTCAGTGTTCGCTGGCCAAGCACTACCTGGCTTATCACTCCAAGGGTTCAAACCTCCTCCAACACACACTGGACAACTGGAACGATGTTGCCAAGACCCGTGAGGTTCTCCCAGAGCGTATCCTCACCATGCTGCCCTCGGCTAGACCCAAGGTATCCTTATTATTATAGCTCCAGGACCCATTTGAGTTTTGTGCCTATTTTTAACAAAATAAGATACTAATATTATTTTCATGGGAAGAGGTATATCCACAGGGTATGTCTCCAAGTACATGGCTTGCACTCTCTTGTGTGAAGAAGAGATACCTGCAAGATATTGGAGTGCCAGGTCTGAAATCTACACTCTACCATAATACCTTACCAGACTTTAAGATATTTGAAGAAACATGAAATAAATCCAGTAAAAGTAGGGGCACTATAGGCACAATAAGACTCTTCAACCTGCTACCAACACATATCAGCAATACTGCTGGAACAAACATATACAGTCTTAAAGAACAAACTTTATCATGTCCATAAAGAGCCAGATTAACCAGGCTGTGATGGGTATGTGGACCAGGAGATCGCTAACAGCAACAGCCTATTTGAAAAGGCACCCAACTTAAAAACTTAGCTAAAAATCAGGCTAGTAGAGTAAAAAATCCATTGAAATTGGTCACAGATATACATATATGTATCGCATGTACAGGTACAGAGTGAAAAATTAGTGAATAAGACACAGTACTGTATGCTATTTATGGCTACTAAGAACACTTTTCTTCCATCAGGGATGAAACGTCTTCTCAGCAAATGCCATAAACTGTACACTGTGTTTATACACATATTTGTTCATATAGTATTTACCAGTGACTTACAGAGTGAATTGTTGTCCCACCTTACTGTTTTATCCTCATACCTGCTAGCAAATACAATATGTTATGCAGTTAGTGTACAAGTGGGCTCAGCTCTACAGCATTTCACTCTATGGCATTTAGCTAGTGCAGTGATTTTCAATTATACCCATTCTTCATTTACTCAGACTTCCTACAATATATTCACTGCTAACTAATAGCTAAGGACAAAAATGTATATGCATTTTTTAGTCCTAGCTCTATTGCTCACTTAACATATGATAGTGTAAACAGGTTATCAGGCTTTTATATGCATTTGAAAAAAGGCTATGTTTCACTTTACAGCAATAACCCAGAACCTAACCTGCTGTATAAACAGGGCCCTCCTGTATTAGTTTATATTGATACGGTGGACCCCCGCATAATGATCACCTCCGAATGCGACCAATTATGTAAGTGTATTTATGTAAGTGCGTTTGTACGTGTATGTTTGGGGATCTGAAATGGACTAATCTACTTCACAATATTCCTTATGGGAACAAATTCGGTCAGTACTGGCACCTGAACATACTTCTGGAGTGAAAAAATATCGTTAACCGGGGGTCCACTGTACTTTTCTTTTCCTACAGGAAGAAGGGATCTACTCAACTCCAATGTGTCTAGAGGATGATGCCATGTCTGTGACATCACAGATGAGGAAAGCACGGTCTGTTGATGCTTCTTGCCTCGACCTCAGTAATGTTGCAGATGAAATCCCCTCACGACCTCTAACTCGTGCGAGGTCAGAGTTCAATCTGGACCATAGATTTACTCGTGAGTATCAGATTTTTTCTAATAATTAGTTTTGGTTGGTATTAATGTTACTGCTTATTAGATTACTCAGCTGAGATTAGTTATAAAATGTCAACAAAATCCCACACATGCACAAACCACCATTAAATAAAACCCAAGCTTATTTTGTTATTTCCATGTTTTCATGGGGAAGCACTAAACCCATAGGGACCATACAGTGCCCTGGAAAGAGGAAGTGGGAGGCAAATCAGGGTACTTCCAATTCCTTGGAGCATCAAGGCATCCCTTCCCTATTCGAGGCTTAGAATAGAGCTTAATCCCATTTTTTTTATTAAAAAATTACTATACATACTATACATTAAGGTTCATAGCAGAACATTTTCATGAGTCTGAGATGCAGTATGACTCATTAGAGTTTAGTGGTTGTTCTTAAATATAATAATAATAACAATAAATAATTATAATTAATAATAATAAATATAACTAATAATAATAATTACAATTTATAATAATAATAATTAATAATAAAATAATTACATATAATAATTAATAATAATAATTCAGAGATCAAACTGATGGAAATGATAATATTTATTTCTATAGAATCACAGAGTAGCAGTAGTAGTAAGACAGGAACGGTTTCTAGTAATGGTTAAAGTTTTGATACAGTTATGATACAAATACAACTGTATGTTCAAATTATAAGCTTGCCACCTGTTGTGCAAAACATTTTGAACAAACTAAAAGAATATATATACACTGGACCCCGGATAACGATATTATTTCAATCCAGAAGTCTGTTTGGGTGCCGTTATAGACCGAATTTGTTCCCATAAGAGATACATATTGTGAATTAGATTAGTCCATTTCAGACCCCCAAAAATACACCTACAAAAGCACTTACAAAAATACACTTACATAATTGGTCGAGTTGGGAGCTGATTGTTATGCGGGGGTCCACTGTATCTGATAATGTTTTTTTCTTACAGCGGAACACATCGTGATGCGAAGGTCTATGGCAATACCGGAGGACATGGGACGAAGGGCTATGGCCAGAGCGCTATACTCCTATAGCCCTAGTGGTGACAACCAACTCTCATTCAGTGATATGGACCTTATTGCTCTTATTGGTATGTTTAGCGAGTTCAGTTATCGTACTTTGTTCAACGTTTTGTAACTACAGGTGCTCCTAGACTTATGATGGTTCAACTTGTATTTCGACTTTGTGATGGTGGAAAAGCAGTTACTCTGGAGATGAAATTTAACCCTTTCAGGGTTGGTGTTATACTAGTACGGCTTGCACGCCAGGGTTGGTGCTGTACTAGTACGCATAAATTCTAGCGCCTTCAAATCTAGCGAGAGAAAACTGGTAAGCCTACATATGAAAGAATGGGTCTATGTGGTCAGTGTGCACAGTATAAAAAAAATCCTGCAGCACACAGTGCATAATGAGAAAAAAAAAAAACTCCGACCATGTTTTTGGTTTAAAGCAGCGACTTTGCAGTGTATTTTTGTATGCTATTTATGGTTGTATTCTAGCTTTCCTGGTCTCATTTTATAGAATGGAAGACATATTATGGAAATTGAGATGAGTTTGATTGGTTTCACAATGAAGAGTACCTTGAAATTGAGCTCAAAGTAGCAGAAATGTTCGATTTTTGCCAAAGTTCAAAAGTTAACAAAACATGCCATGCGTTCAATACATGTCAACTGGTGAGTCTAATATTCTTTCACAAGTGCGCTGATATTATTTATACCATTTATACACTAATGCAGTAGTCTGCATAACAGTAAATCTTCTATTTTTTGTGAGAATAAAAATTCAAAGTGGAAAGCAAAAGAAATGTAACAGAGGCCTGGGGACATGACTAATGAACAGAGGAAATGTTATTTTAGTGCCAGGAATGTCTGTCTTGTTTATTCTGGATCCTATTTGGAAATTGGCATCTTTTGAAATTTGTGTGAAATTGGCAAAATTGCTAATTTCTGACCACTTTATTGGATAGTTGAAATTGGTAAATGGGTGGTTTCTTGTACTCATTCGATAGAAAAAATGGAGTTCTAGCGAAATATTTATGATTTTTGTCGATTGGTACATTGGAATTGGCCGAAAATAAGGCTCAAAGTGGGCAAAATCGCCAATGCATAAACATCGTCGAGATCGCTAACTTCGTGAGAGCATAATTCCGTAAGTTTTCCATCAAACTTCATACTTTTGGTGTCATTATGATCGGGAAAAGATTATCTATCACTCCATAAAAATAATTATTTTTTTTTTTTGAAAAATTTCTGACGCTGAGAACAAGTTCAGGAGAGGGCCTGCCGACCCTGAAAGGGTTAAGATAATTACCCAGCATAAAGGCAGTAAGTCCATAACTTGTATTCATTTATTTACTTTTCAATACCGATATTTAGTTACAGTAATTATTTGTTTATTTACTTATTCAGTGATAGAAGTTATTTATTATTATTTATTTAGCATATATTCATATTCGAACATAACCTCATCATAAGAAGAGGAGCACCTGTTACTACTGCCTTGCTTACACTGTACTCTCTGACTCTAGAGTCACTATCACTATTCCCTTCTTATTTCCACCTCTGCCACTATTGTACTGTTTCCTACTACTACTACTATTACTACCTCTACCACTACTTCTACCTTTATTCTACTTCCTCCTTCATTCCACTGTTCCTGTCCCCTTTCGTATATACATTGGCTCCCTTCCCGCTTCTGTATGACTAGTTAATGGTGCTAGTCGAACTGAAACATCACGTTTCTTTCTCCTATATGTAGGTTATTTGTGTGTGATATTGTATTGGTAATATTGGTATAAACCTTGATAATAAATACTGACAAGTTGGTTTAGAAGTGATCAAGGTCCCAGGACCGAAACGTTTTCTAATAAATATGTCCTAGTGTTAGCTTATGTGTTTTCCTAAACCATTGGTAATATTATTAATTCATGGGGATGTGCTAAACCTGTAGGAATCATACAGTGCCTGGAGAATATGAGGCAATGAGCTTTAATCCAAGAAAGGGGAAGGAGTCTCCAGGTACTTGGATCGAGACTGCTGCATCATAATCAGTGTGTTCTTCTGGAAATGACGGTTATCGGTAAAACAGTTTTACTGAAGGAAGGGTGAAAATGTATTGCAGTTTTTGAACTGCAGTATTGGGATGCTTCTGGCAAGACAGTGATGGAGTGAATGATGATGAAAGTGTTTCTTCTTTTACAAGTCACCCTACTGCTGGTGGGAAACACCTGATGCACTAAAAAAAATCTACATCTAAAGGAAAGGTCAGGTACAATTCCTTGGATCAGTCAGTATTATTAGATGATGTAACTCAATTATTTTAGAATTCATGATAATTACAGTATCTCTTCTGGTATTATCAATAGGTGAGAAGAATAAAGGATGGCAGTATGGAGAAAATTTAAGAACCCAGCGCTGTGGATGGTTCCCTGTGGCATACACAGAAATTATCCATGAAGAAGATGACTCTGCTCTTGGGTATGTCTAATGCTCTCATTTCTTAACTGTTTTTGTCAAATTTATGTCACTAATCCCTTTGTAAGTTTTGTTAATTGATCTTTAAATGCACCAGGCCTTGTATCAAGCTAGAAAATCCCTTTCGTGTGTTGTATTTTTTATTAGTGGTACAGTATTATCATATTCACACATGTTTTATAGAAAGTCTTTCACAAACACAGTATTCTTGTTCATAAGCTAGCCTACATTCTGAAGAATGATGAAATACACAAATAACCTGCACACAGGAGAGAGGAGCTTATGATGACGATTCAGTCTGACTTAGACAATTTACAAAGTCACACTGTGTGACTTTGTAAATGGTCCAAGTTGGACCAAAACATCGTTGTGAGCTCCTCTCTTCCCATATGTGGGTTATTTGTGTATTGTTCTTGTCATATTATTGTGCCTTTTTATTCTTGAAGAATGAGACACTTCTGAAACATTTGGGAATATTTATTACAGAAATTTTCCCATAATAAAGATTTCCAAATGTTGCACTAGTGTTTTTCTAAACCATTTACTTCATAGTCTACATTCCAACTTATCTGAAAGATTTGCTGTTTTTCATTTTCAGTGTCTTATGTTGAATATTTATTCCACTAAAAGTTGTGCTGTATATCAAGTTTTTAAAAACATTCAACAAAGTGCCTCATGAAGAACTAACAAGAAAATCAAAGTTAATACAGTCACTCTTTAAAATTTTGAACAAGATTATTAATATACTCACTGCATGGGGAAACGCTGAAGCTGGAGGGGTCATAGAGCACCTGGAGAATAGATGTAATTGTTTTGATAGAAGGCAGCTCAAATTTCTTAAATCAAGATTCCTTCATTAACATCAAGGCACCCCTCTTAAAGGATGAACAGGACAAAGCAGTTGCTAAAAGAGGAAAAAGTTTTACTGAAAATTATTAAAAAATCCACCTGGAGTAATGAATTTAGTGGGGTGCCACAAGGATGGCTTCTGGGACTGTCTTTGTAAACACATCAGAGAAGGACATAAACATTTCCATCCTCTAATTTGCAGTACAGGAGCAAAGTTCTGCTCAGAATGTCCCATCTTTATTATTAAATCTACAATATTTGATTTTTATTATTAACACACTGGCCGATTCCCACCAAGGCAGGGTGACCCGAAAAAGAAAAAACTTTCACCATCATTCACTCCATCACTGTCTTGCCAGAAGGGTGCTTTACACTACAGTTTTTAAACTGCAACATTAACACCCCTCCTTCAGAGTGCAGGCACTGTACTTCCCATCTCCAGGACTCAAGTCCAGCCTGCCGGTTTCCCTGAACCCCTTCATAAATGTTACTTTGCTCACACTCCAACAGCACGTCAAGTATTAAAAACCATTTGTCTCCATTCACTCCTATCAAACACGCTCACGCATGCCTGCTGGAAGTCCAAGCCCCTCGCACACAAAACCTCCTTTACCCCCTCCCTCCAACCTTTCCTAGGCCGACCCCTACCCCGCCTTCCTCCCACTATAGACTGATACACTCTTAAAGTCATTCTGTTTTGCTCCATTCTCTCTACATGTCCGAACCACCTCAACAACCCTTCCTCAGCCCTCTGGACAACAGTTTTGGTAATCCCGCACCTCCTCCTAACTTCCAAACTACGAATTCTCTGCATTATATTCACACCACACATTGCCCTCAGACATGACATCTCCACTGCCTCCAGCCTTCTCCTTGCTGCAACATTCATCACCCATGCTTCACACCCATATAAGAGCGTTGGTAAAACTATACTCTCATACATTCCCCTCTTTGCCTCCAAGGACAAAGTTCTTTGTCTCCACAGACTCCTAAGTGCACCACTCACCCTTTTCCCCTCATCAATTCTATGATTCACCTCATCTTTCATAGACCCATCCGCTGACACGACCAGTCCCAAATATCTGAATACATTCACCTCTTCCATACTCTCTCCCTCCAATCTGATATCCAGTCTTTCATCACCTAATATTTTTGTTATCCTCATAACCTTACTTTTTCCTGTATTCACTTCTAATTTTCTTCTTTTGCACATCCTACCAAATTCATCCACCAATCTCTGCAACTTCTCTTCAGAATCTCCCAAGAGCACAGTGTCATCAGCAAAGAGCAACTGTGACAACTCCCACTTTGTGTGTAATTCTTTATCCTTTAACTCCACGCCTCTTGCCAAGACCCTCACATTTACTTCTCTTACAACCCCATCTATAAATATATTAAACAACCACGGTGACATCACACATCCTTGTCTAAGGCCTACTTTTACTGGGAAATAATTTCCCTCTTTCCTACATACTGTAACTTGAGCCTCACTATCCTCATAAAAACTCTTCACGCTTCAGTAACCTACCTCCTACACCATACACCTGCAACATCTGCACATTGCCCCCTATCCACCTGTCATAACGCCTTTTCCAAATCCATAAATGCCACAAAGACCTCTTTAGCCTTATCTAAATACTGTTCACTTATGTGTTTCACTGTAAACACCTGGTCCACACACCCCCTACCTTTCCTAAAGCCTCCTTGTTCATCTGCTATCCTATTCTCCGTCTTACTCTTAATTTTCAATAATAACTCTACCATACACTTTACCAGGTATACTCAACAGACTTATTCCCCTATAATTTTTTCACTCTCTTTTGTCCCCTTTGCCTTTATACAGAGGAACTATGCATGCTCTCTGCCAATCCTAGTACCTTACCCTCTTCCATACATTTATTAAATAATTGCACCAACCACTCCAAAACTATATCCCCACCTGCTTTTAACATTTCTATCTTTATCCCATCAATCCCGGCTGCCTTACCCCTTTCATTTTACCTACTGCCTCACAAACAAACTTCCCCCACACTCACAACTGGCTCTTCCTCACTCCTACAAATGTTATTCCTCCTTGCCCTATACACGAAATCACCGCTTCCCTATCTTCATCAACGTTTAACAATTCCTCGAAATATTCCCTCCATCTTCCCAATACCTCTAACTCTCCATTTAATAACTCTCCTCTCCTATTTTTAACTGACAAATCCATTTTTTTTCTAGGCTTCCTTAACTTGTTAATCTCACTCCAAAACTTATTCTTATTTTCAACAAAATTTGTTGATAACATCTCACCCACTCTCTCATTTGCTCTCTTTTTACATTGATTCACCACTCTCTTAACCTCTCTCTTTTTCTCCATATACTCTTCCCTCCTTGCATCACTTCTACTTTGTAAAAACTTCTCATATGCTAACTTTTTCTCCCTTACTACTCTCTTTACATCTCTTACTACTCTCTTTACATATATCAATATTTGATACACTCACTGTAAGTTACTGAAAAATACTATAAAATTTAATATATTCAGTATTTACTGAAATTTCTAGAATATTTAATGTACTGAATTCAGTATGCCTTAGTGAAATGCTTATGGACTTATGAACTGCCTAAATGATCAAAAAATTCTGCAAGTAGGACACAATAATTCACATCACAATCATCACATTAAAGTCAATACCTTGGTACTAAAATAAGATTCATGGCATAACTATATTTTAGTATGAAGTATAAAGTAGCTGAATGGAGTAAGGTAGGGAAGAGTAGCTCCACTTTCTTGAATCAAGAGCCCTTCATGAGTATCAGAGGAAGAGCAAGATTTGAGGTGAGAGATGAGCTGGAACTTACCTGGAGGGTGTTCCAGGGGTCAACACCCCCTTGGCCTGGTCCATGACCAGGCCTTGCAGTGGATCAGGACCTGATCAACCAGGCCGTTACTGCTGGCTGCACACAATCTAATGTACGAACCACAGCCTGTGAGGCAGGCTATAACAGAAGTGTCTAAGGCTAAGATTACTGCTGCATGTAACCTACTTACTGCCAGTCAAGAATACATTAATCCCTTGTAAAGGGATTACAGTAACTTCGCAGTGTATATACACCAAGAGACATACACCTCTGTGTATATACACCAAGAGACATACACCTCAGTGTATATACATCAAGAGACATTGACCTCTCAGTGTAAGTATTTAAGAATACTTTCCTTGGCTCACTAGAGCAGTGCATAGATAAAAGTTAACCCTTCTGTTGCAGTGCTTTGATGCAAATGAAGGGATCTTGACCCAAAGAATTGCATCTATTTCCCTCCTTCTTTCTTTGTACCAAACTTGATGTACTTTTCATTCCCCAGGCATTGTATAACTTGTGTGTTTATCCTTCCTCATGAATATGTAACAATAATGATGAATATTAAGCATTCCATTTGGTAGGTAAAATAAGCAGTATATGTATGTACGTATATATGTGCGTGTGTGTTTGTACTCACCTAGTTGTGGTTGCAGGGGTCGAGTTACAGCTCCTGGCCCTGCCTCTTCACTGGCTGCTACTAGGTCGCTCTTCCTGCTCCATGAGCTTTATCATACCTCTTCTTAAAACTATGTATGGATTCTGCCTCCACTACATCACTTCCCAGACTATTCCACTTACTGACAACTCAGTGCTAACTTCCCTGTCATTCATCTGAGTCTTCAGTTTCCAATTGTGACCCCTTGTTACTGTGTCACATCTCTGGAACATCCTGTCTATGTCCACCTTGTTGATTCCTCTCAGTATTTTTACATTTTTTTTTTTCAACAAGTCGGCCGTCTCCCACCGAGGCAGGGTGACCCAAAAAAGAAAGAAAATCCCCAAAAAGAAAATACTTTCATCATCATTCAACATTTTCACCACACTCACACATTATCACTGCTTTTGCAGAGGTGCTCAGAATACAACAGCTTAGAAGCATATATGTATAAAGATACACAACATATCCCTCCAAACTGCCAATATCCCAAACCCCTCCTTTAAAGTGCAGGCATTGTACTTCCCATTTCCAGGACTCAAGTCTGACTATATGAAAATAACCGGTTTCCCTGAATCCCTTCACTAAATATTACCCTGCTCACACTCCAACAGATCGTCAGGTCCCAAGTATCATTCGTCTCCATTCA